TTAATTTGAATTGCAAATATAGCAGATTGGAGTCATGGTTGTTCTATGTATATTTAATAAGGTGCATTGAAGTTTATCATTGTTTTCTTTTGGCACGTATTGCAGGATTATGTTGCTACTAGATGGTACCGAGCCCCGGAACTGTGTGGAGCATTCTCTTCTAAGGTATCGTTTGGCAAGAATTTATTATTTGAGCATTCTATTCTATTACGTTATAAGATTATAGTTTGTGGCAGCCTATTAGCTTGAAGGCCATTTGTGCTTGTTTTACCAATGATTGAAGCTATTATTGTTTTTTCACGAAACAAGATATTCTGTTTTTATTTTTTATTTTGTGTTTATGAATTGAAAGATTATAAGAAATGTGGCCCATATGAAGTTGTATACTTCTAGTATTTCCTTGATTTTGTTTCAACTAATTTCTTAACATCCTTTTGTAGTTTCTATACGTCCCTAGGGCCATGTGCCAATAGACATATCTTTTCACTGCAAACTAAAGATCGTTCATAGTGTAGGTTATCTAGCCCTGCTTATGTTTAACTAATTTGCTTTTAGGTAGATAAAGATTAGATGTGTGCATACAACGTTGCCAGCTTGTGTTATTTACTAGTGTGCTCGTACTATGGGAATTCGTTATGGTATTCACCTGCACCCATACCATTGCAAGTAGTAAAATAAATATTTGAGGGTTTTTCTGTTACTTTAGTTGGAACGAGGAAATCTAGCCACGTTATGCTGGTCAAGGCATTCACTAAAATCTTACCTGGAAGTTTTCTGGTACCTGATCTGTTGTCTTGCATTTGGAGGGAATCAAACTCCAGAAAGCAATCTTTGAATGATAGAAATAGAAATTCATAAGATGACATCTTTTCGGGTGCTTGTCCAATTCTTTCTATTTGTTTCTATATGAAATGCCCTCTGAGTGGTTATAGTAATTAGTGATGCCTAGGTTACAATAATTTTTGTTCAGGGCGGTCAATTGAACTCTCCTGGAAGTTAAATTATATGTCCTTCAGGGACTTGTGTCATGTTATGCCTTTTTCTATGTGTGTTTTCATTGAGGTATGAATTTGTCCTTTAGTAGACTCACCTTGTTGACATATTGCATTCAGTATACACCAGCTATTGATGTATGGAGCATTGGTTGCATCTTTGCTGAGGTCCTAACTGGAAAACCGTTGTTTCCTGGTAAAAGTGTTGTACATCAGTTAGATTTGATTACTGATCTTCTTGGAACCCCATCTTCAGAAACTATTTCAGGAGTAAGGATCTTTCCTTTTATTTTTCCTTTTTATCTTACTTTATGGTTTAATAAACTCTTGTGTTATTTTTCGTATCCGTTTAATGATTATTCTATGTTTGATCACATCTTGATATATGCAGGTTCGAAATGAGAAGGCAAGAAAGTACTTGATGGAAATGCGAAAAAAACGGCCTGTGCCTTTTGAGCAGAAATTTCCAAATGCAGATCCATTGGCACTGCGCCTTTTGCAAAGGCTTCTAGCATTTGATCCCAAACATCGGCCAACTGCTGAAGAGGTATCTATTTATCTACTTGTTCATGTTATGTTTGTTCCTGCCTATTCAGTGTGGATCTTGTAATGGAAAATCATTTTTTTTTCAATGTAATTTTGAAGACAAACATTTTTGCTCGTATGTTTGGCAGGCACTGGCTGATCCTTATTTCAAGGGCTTGGCCAGAGTTGAGAGAGAACCTTCTTGTCAGTCAATTTCAAAGTTGGAATTTGAGTTTGAGAGGCGAAGGTTGACAAAGGCCGATATTAGAGAACTAATATATCGTGAAATACTGGAATATCATCCTCAAATGCTTAAAGATTACATGAATGGAACTGGAGGAAACTTCCTCTATCCTAGGTCCAAAATATATGCTTTATATCGAATTATACATGATGCCTATTGCCTATTTTCATGAATATAATGCTTATGTTTATATGCAATACAAATAGTTTATGGTTACGTATTCCTTGCAGTGCAATAGGCCAATTCAGAAATCAATTTACTTATCTTGAGGAAAATGGTGGCTCTGTCACTCCGCCTGAAAGGAAGCATGTCTCCCTTCCAAGGTAAGACTAATCTGCACTTATGGCTCATGGCTTTCTGCTAACTGTATCTTTTCTTCTGGGTTCTAGATATTAGTTTACATGTTGAGTTTGGTTGCTGGTGAATGCTAAGGACTTGTTGGGTTCTGATTAGAGTTTCTTGGATGTCATGAGGGTTAAATTGTGGGTTGATGGTTTACTGTATATGCATGGTGGGGGGGTTAAGGTTTAAAAAGATCTATTTACTGTTTGTGTACAGTACTTCCAAAATAAGGATTCTTGGATTTGATGGATTCTAGGGTAGATCTATAGACGAATCAACTAAGCATCAAACAGTCAAGAAGACAGCCATTAGTCAAAACTTGCAGATCATTTAGTTCATTATGTAGTGTGCAACAACCTAACTGGCCTGATGTAACACACACTGCATACAGAGTAGGAAATAGGCAGAAATATAGAACAGAGAGAGAAAGGAGGGGGGATTGAGAACAGAGCGGTGGGAGAGAGCAGAGGCAGAATGTCGGAGGGGGAACAGGCAGAGAAACGAAGGGGAGGGATAAGGTTATTTATTGAAGCCACTGCTAAGGTTTCCTTCTTATGAAGGAAACATAAAAATAAAATGAAATATAGAGTTTCCTTATCATGAATAAAACATCCCACTTTTGGCCCCTTTAATACATGAAATGATTAAACAACCCACTTACTAAATGAAGTAATAAAGTAAAAACAGAAAATAATGAAATATAAAAGTGAGATAGGTTTATTTCCATAGGAGGTTTCCTCAGAATATATAAATTCTTATATTCCATCACTGCCCCTCATTCTCATAGAAGCAGCCCAACAACCCAAGTTTGTGTTCCAATTAAATAGGGGAAAGTAACTTAATCAAATGAATTCTGAAGAATATGAAATTCTGCGAAAATAGTTAGAATTTATTATTTACTTCTCTTATTTTCAGTGGTTAAGTTTTCTGTGTTTTTGTGTAAAGGCTGCACAGGGACAAGCCTGATGCTGATCTAGAAATTCCCAACGAGAATTTACTAACATGCCCATAGAATCGAATAAATATCACCTAAAGTAACTTATAATTGGCTGCATACTAAATAAATTCTAAATTGTAAAGTTATGAGGTATTACAATCAGGTCCTATTTTAAAGCTTTGTTAAACTGGTAAATACTTAAGCTTTTTGCCTTTTTTACTTTTTCTGCTTTCTGCATCAGAATTCTCTTATAATTAATTGTTTTTCTGATCCATATGATAAATTTGCTTTTTCCCCCTTTTGAAGGCCTGCTATTCACTCAAGTACAATCCCTCATAATACAAAATCAAATTTCAATTTGTATGAGAACAAGCAAAATGCAGAAGAGGCATCTAAGAGTATGAGAGCAGCAGAATCAAATTCTGGAAGTCTATTGAGGGGTTCTTTGCCTCCACCAAGGGCGCCAACAGGTATATCCTTCATAGTTAATTTGTTGATTCCTTATTTTCTTCCTTATTGAGAAATAAGAAATTACAGCGAAGTAAGAAAAGTATATACATACAAGGTCAAGAAATTATCCTAAAACAGCCAAGAGCCTCCACCTCTTCCTCAGGTTGAGATTCACTAAGATTCCATGAAAATAACTATCCCATTGGGTTAAAATCTGTCATCAAGCTCCAGCCTTCAGCTTCCGTGTGCCTACTTTCAAAGGGCTATACAAGTAACTCGTCCTTCCAAAACTCCAATGCAGGAATATAAATGAACTGAAGTTTGGTCATTAATTAATAACAGATATGTATTGGCGCACAGGTGTGTGTAATTACATATTCAAGCTTAATAAATAAGTCGCAATTTTTAGCTTGACTATGAGTTCAGGCATTGTGAACATATGCTGGTCTCTTTATGGAAGAATCTACAGTTTTCTACTTCTAATTCTCACATTGAGGACAAGGTGAAGCTTAGAGGGCTGGGAAATGACGGGCTCATAACTAATGGACCTATCATGATCAAAATGAACTAGTATTAAGTAACTTTCTATATTCCTTGGTGTGCTGGTTCTATTGTTTATTGGCTTGTCTTGTCTATCTATATTATTAACTGCTTCTATCAACACTTTCCACAGCTAAGCCAGGGAGAGTGGTAGGTCCGGTTGTACCATATGAAAATGGGGGAAGCACAAATACTTATTATGACCCAAGGATCTTTTATCAAAACTCTCTTCCCCAGGCTGCGGGTTCTCCTCACTGCTATTTTAGACCTCAACCCACAAACTCACAGAAGACTGTGTCAGAGATACACCAGGTTTTCTCACAGTGCAAGCATCAAATCCCATTCCCGCAGTGTTACCACCTAACTAGACCTGCAATTGACCTCAACACCAACCCATATCACCAAGAAGCCAAGATTGATCGGTTTGATAATCCCATGATTACAATCGACGTGAAGCTGCTACAGGCACAATCTCACTTCGGTGCAGTTGGTGCCACAGCAGTAGCTGTTGCAGCTCACAGACATTCTAGTGCTGTTCAGTATGGATTGTCATAGGTTAAGTACTTGTGTGAAAGGTGCTATGATTTTTATGTCAGGAATTGGATTGTAGGAGGTCGATTAAATCATTAAATAGGTTTAGTTTTTTCCTCCTCCTCTTCTTTTTCTTTACCTTTTTGGTTCTTCAGGTTACAGTTTTTGTAAAAATGTACATGTACATTTAATTGATTAATAAGAAGTTCATTGTTCCTCTTCTTCTCAATCTTGACTTGATTTTCCATTATTTTGAGGACGGCAACACAGACATAAATACACATGCGTGCGCATGCATACACATACATATGATTGTGCATACAAATGCACTTGGTAAACAAGCATACACACTGAGGATGTCATCAAACTTGCACAAGGTAGCATTTGGTGTGTTAAGAAAGCAGAGCAGAGCATAAGATGATTTGGGAGATCCAAACAATTTTCCTTGGCACAAGCTACTTATTTGATTCAATGCAACACGTTCTGTTTAAGAAGGGAAAAATGAAGAGTATAGATGGAACCCAAGATATCACCTTAGTTCAGTTTTATGGCCAGAAATTGTCATTGTATTTCTGCTCATTTGCAACTCTTGACAAATTCGAATATTCAAAAGCCTGTTCTTGTATTTCTAGCAGTTTATGAGCAACAAGCCTAGAAGAAGCTTAATTTAAAATCACAAATAAAGAAACTGTGAGAAGCCTGTTCACAATCTATTCACTCAGTTTTTTTCTTCATTTTCATTGCACTGTTGTATCCTCATGGCATCTAGATAGGATTTTCCCTGGAGTTCACGACTAGATACGCCTTCGAGGTATTCATCTTGTCCTATTCTTTTAAACTTTGGTGGAGTATGCTCAGTGACCAAGCTTGGTGAAGGACCTATCTCTGCATCATATCTTGGATTGTAAAATGTTGCATTGGAAAGTCTCTCTTTCTCAGAGTTTACTGTTGCTCGGTGCTCAACACTTCGGTATGTGGTGAAGGACCTATCTCTGCATCATATCTTGGATTGTAAAATGTTGCATTGGAAAGTCTCTCTTTCTCAGAGTTTACTGTTGCTCGGTGCTCAACACTTCGGTATGTCCCATTGGTTATGATCTGCCACGTGAGATATACAGAAAAAGATAGCAGAATTTAAGTGGGCAAGGGACACATTGAAAAAATGATTTACATACCTCTTTAATTCAATTTCAAACTCTTCAATTTGGTAATCAAAAAATTGGTTTTTATTATCCCTATTTGAAACGTGATTTATTTTAAGTAGTAAATATGCATGTAATATGGATTTAGTCTGTGAAATGTACTTCAGCTATAAAATGTAGTGGGAGATAAGATAAAGGACTGGTAGGTCCCATTTTTGGAAATGTGGGTCCTACTTGCTCTATCCTTCTCTTTAGTCGAAGATTGAAGGGCACTTCAATAAATCTAACTTCAATGTTATATATCTTATATTTGTTACCTCTAGTGTGTCTCCAATGTTGAGAATGAATGCATTAGGGAGAGGCCTAACAGGTATCAGAATGAATGCATTAGGGAGAGGCCTAACAGGTATCCACATGCCATCTTTTATAATCTGAAGGCCTTCTACTTCGTTGAGTTGCAGAAGAATGGTGAGACCTACAGCATCAGAATGGGGTGTGAGACCATCGACTTTGTGAGGCTGAGGACGTGGAGGGTAATAGTTCATTCTCAGTGATTGCATTCCTTCTTCAAATAACTCCCTGATTTCCATGCTTTCCATCTCCAGAGCTTTTTCCATTTGTTCCATAATAGTCATTGCTAGATTTTTCATCTGAAGTGAGTATAGTTCTAGAGTTTCTCTGTATTCAAAACATTACTCAGCATCAAATCAAGTAGCTGACAGGGAATATATGCAAATTATCCATTGGGCATGCAAAAATCACAGAATCACACTATGCTTAACAAAGAATTACAACATCAGTACAAAGCAATTAATGATAATTCCTAATTTGTTCATAGCTTATTTGCAATAAAAAAAAAATCCTCCAACTAAGAGATCAAGGAGAAGAGAGAGAAAGACAAACCAAGGAGAAGAGAGGCGGACGAATTCACTGGCAAAAGAAGAGAAAGACAGACGAAAGGAATGAAAGTGTATTCAAGGGTAGCATAGTCAGTTTAAAAGTTAAGTACACATTTAACTCCCTCATACCAACCCCCAAATGTTTGTTTGAAAAGCTACTACAAGTTACATCTAGCAAATCCGCTTTCCCCAATTTTATAAATGTGGATTAGGTATAAAAGTGATATCTAAACAACATTTAAGCTTTCACAATGTCACAAAAATTACCCAAAAAATTTTTGGCTTTCAGAAAGTTCCAAAAACACTATAAAAGTCAAAAGTTGATATGAGATGAGAAATGACTTTGATAATTTTGCATCTAAGAATGCATGACAGTTAGAGAGGGTTTTATGCATTTGCGCAAAGCTTGAAATTATTGTTCACAGCTTTGTGAATAGGTGGCTATTAGCTTCTTACATAATTGACTAGTAAGGAAGAGGAGATTTGAAAAGAAAAATATGTGAGGGGGAATTAAGCGACTAAGTAATATATTTTATATAAATAAAAATAATTTGCTAATGAATGAATATATTCAATGAAAATAATTTATCAATATGCTAAACCTTCTTTTTTAGCATAATCAATATACTATACTAATTACAGTAGTTAAGCATATTGACCAAAATACGTCATCAAACCTCAATACAAATTTTTTAAGTAAATCAACTTTTTCCAACAAAGAAATATGCATATAGAGAAAGATACTAGAGGGTGGGGGGGAGAACCTGAAATGAAAAGGTAGGTGAGGGAACAGGCAAGGATTCCTCAAATGGATTGGGAGTGTAAAGATGAAGAAAAGGTCAGCCCAATCAAGCTTTTGATCATCACTCACAACAAAGGCTTGTCCAAATCCCTCCAAATCTCCTTCTCTCTGCCAAAACTTCTTCTTCTCTGACATTTCCAAATTGAAAAATTCCTCTATCTCCTTCTTCATCTTCTCCACCAACCCTGGCCCTACCCCATGATTCACCAACTACACAAATTATTTCAATTCTTCACTCAGTATTTGCTTTGTCAGAAACTAACAAAAGATGAGGATTGTGAGAGAGATAGAGAGAAAAGGAACCACACCTGCAAGAATCCCCACTGTCTGCAAGCATGGTGAAGCTTAGCCAATTCTTCTTCAGAACTTGTTGATTCCTCAGTGATCAATCTCTGCATATCAATCACTGGGATTTCTGGCAAATCATCCGACTCTGAAACAATACTTTGTTGTTGTTGATCAGGACGAACATATCTGTCTGGAATCTCAGTGATGTTCTTTGCTAGCTCTTGAACTGATGGAACAAGCAGAGAATTCCACTTTGGCTTCACCCTTTCTTCTTCCATGGCCTTCCCTAACAGCCAACCCTTGAGGCTTGAGCGTTCCTTTGCTTAATATTGAGAACTGGTATGGTGAGTTGCACTTCTTATAACGTAGAAAGTAGGTGAAAGTGAATGTGTTCAATGTTATTTGGGAGAGCTTTTGTGATGTATATTTGGGTGTTGGGGGTATTAATTAATGAGTTAAAATATCTACTTATTTTTATATTGCTATGGTACCCTCGTTTGTCCATTTTTCTTTCGTCTCTGTGTATTAATTCGTCTATTAAGATATATAAATATAATATGGTGTTTTAGTTGGATATGTCTTTAAATAATAAATTCCCTAAAATTTATTTAAATCATATAAAATTTTTATATTTTATTAAACCATTTGACCCTTAGTGGAAAACACTGGAAATGTTCTATCTCATGACCATGCTATCTCTAATTCTTTTCAATTAATTTTTAGTATTAATGCGTATTGCCTATTTATATAATTTTTTTGTCTAATATGTCAAACTTTTTAATTTTTTATTCTTATTATTTAATATATCAAATTTTATGTTATTTAAAAATTTTATCACATATATTTTTCAAATATTTCTAGCATGAAACATTCGTAGAATAAAAGTTACAAGTAATAAAAATTGATATCATTTTTTATAATTATATATTTAAAATCACTCTTTATTATACATAATCCAAATAATTTTAAGTTTTCTTAACTAACTTTTTTAAAAAATATATACAAATATAAATTTTGTTATAACAATTGACTTTCATTAAATTAACTTTTATCAAATAAATTTTTAAAAAACTGACTTTTAACTAATAGAAAATCAAATGGGCACATAATCTCTCTACTACTATATATTCTCTTCGTTTAAAAATGTAAGTCATTTTTAACTGAATATTATTTCAAATAAAATGGTTATTTATCTTTAAGCTAACCATATCTTTTTATATTTATCTCTATTTAATAGGGTGTTTCACCCTAAAAAATATATAAAGTGATCTATTTAATAGGGGCATTTAAAAAAAGGTAATGATTATACATTAAAAAATTAAAAATATCTTATATTTTTTAACATTTAATCCCTTAAAAAATACCTTACATTTTTTACGGAACGTGTCACTTTCTAGAAAATATTGATGATTCTTTTTATAAGTCACTTTGCATAAAAAAGGTGAATCATTAATTATTTGCTTTTGATTTTACTCTTTTCAATTTTTCAAAAGTATCCCTAATGATGAATGACTTTAGATTTATTGTAGGTGTTTAATAGAAATAAATATAAAAATATAGGATTAGTTTGAAAGTAGGTAACTACTTTATTAAAAAGGTGAGATTCAGTTAAAAAATTTTTATATTTTTGAATGGAGAGAATATCTCTTTTAAGGAACCGCATTCCGTACCCTTAAGGTGATTTTGACCCTTCATTTTATCTCAAAATAATCTCAGTCATTGATTTTAAACTAATTTTTAAATCTTTTAAATATTATATTTGTGAAAATAAAAATTGTAAAAAAAAATATTATTAAATTTTGAATGTCTAAAATATATATGGATAGTCAATTTATAAAAATTACTAAAAATTAATATTAAATTAGATTATTCATATTATATCTGGATTATACAGAATATATTTGGATGGTCAATTTATAAAAGACATAAAAAAATTTATATTAAATTGGACCATATCCAAATTAAATTTGTATTAATAAAATTAATTATCAACAGATTTATTTTAAAATTGATCTTTTTTATGTATTTTTATTTTGATAAATATAAAATAAAAATAAAAAGTTAAATTTAAATTATCCAGATCTTATCAAAAGTGATCTATATATGATAGTGCTTATCATGTAATAAGCACTGAAAGCAATCTAGGTTTAACATCAAAAATTTTTATGATTTTTATTTTCACAAATATAATATTTAAAATATTTAAAAATTAATTTAAAATCAAATGGCATAGATTATTTTTAGATAAAATGAAGGCTCAAGATCACCCCTTAGAGGTGAGCACATCATCAATTTGATGAGTACAGAATGCAGATCCCTCTTTTAATCTAAAACTCTAATAGGAGCATATCAAAATTACTTATCTCCCCATTACAAACAAATAACTAATTATTGGTATTCCAAAAAATGACTTGCATATTGAAATGAAGGATTTTTTTGAATTTAAAAATAAACATATATTTAAAACAGCAATGGCTCCCATAGATAATAATGATAACTTGTTTCAAAAAAAAAAATACAAAGGAGGTTATGTATATTCATAGTTCTAATATTTAAATACTTTGGACATATTCAGCCTTAATAGGTCCAAAATGATTTTTATTTTTTCCTTAAAAATATATATAACACAATGCTAATGATATAATATAATGACATCATATAATTTAAATAAACAATCTCATGTAGTAAGATAAGGCTTATTGTTATTGTTTTTTTATATAACATATATTAAATATTAATTAATTATTCAAGTCTTGATTGATTTTATACCAAAAGACCACATATTTGAGTATATGATTTTGAATTTTTTAAAAATAAAAAGATCCATATTGTTATATTTTTATCATTTTTTAATCTTTAACATATCTTAAAATAATATTTTAATCTTGAATTTTAAGAACCTCAATTTTTCTTAAAAAAAATTAATTTGAGCCTTTTATATTTTTTAAGTGCTCAAAAAAATATAGGGAGAATCACATCCAAAAACTTGAGAAGAAAGTTTTTATAGATAAGGACTAATAGCAAGTCCCATTAAAAAGAAGTTAATATTTTTATTTCAATAGTAATCCATTTCACATTAGTTCTTGTTTGTGAATAATTTTCTTATTAGGTCCTTGTTTGTGATTCTACCAAAAATATATTGTATATTTTTAAATAATGACAATAATTAATTTTAAAATAAAAATAAAAATTTTCTTGAGATTAAAAGATAAAAAAATATTTGACAGTTTGACCTAGCTCGAATAAGTCCAAGATGTTAAGATTAGGGTTAATTATATAGGTATTTTTTTAAGAAATCCAAACCTGCCCAAATAAACTTGACCTGAATTATAAGTTCATCCCATCCAAATTACTCATATAGTGCACAAGGTTCAATCAGATTTGAATTCAGTGAGTGACTTAAGTTTACTCATTTAGTAAGTGTCTTAATTATAGTCATTGAATTTTATTAATATTTAAAAATTATCAAAATACATTTCTTTAAAAAAAATTAAAACAACTTTCAAGATTAAAACCTCACTATGTATATTGTTCCCTTCAAAAATTTAAAATTCAATATTTTATCCATATTATATAATGAAATTTTTGACAAATATTTGATTAAACTGAACAGTTGTTATCGAACTACATGAAATTTATTGAGTAAATGAATTTATATCACTCAACGAACCCAATTGTGTTCAGTCATATCCGTGAGAATTCAGGTGATGTGATAGTTATAGTATAGTGCTTGAATTCTCAAGTCAAAATGCTGTCCTCTTTAATTAATTAATTTCATCATAAAAAAATAATGCCGTTGAATTGAATGTTGTATGCGTACGTGGCACCATTAAATCATGCCGTGAAGGTAAACCAGATTCAACTTGCAAGTGAAAATAAAATGATAAACCTGACGTCAGATGTTACAACGTCACTTGCATCATTTTCATCCCTTTGATCCGCGGGCCTCAAATTTTCAATTTCAAAATGTTGCAACTGGAATTTTTTTTTTTTAAAAAAAGCAGCTCATTGCAAGTCAGTAATTTCAAGATTAAGCACCCTCCAGATTACTCACAAATTAATGAACTAACTCATCATGTGCTCAACAATCATTGAAGACTAATTAGTCCCACAGGTGAGCCCTGGTGAGAACTTCCATGGCAAGTTCCAACCATCCAATTGATTATAATGATTTAGATATTTCTTTTTTCAATGATAATAAGTATTATTATCAATAGATTTGAATTGTCTATATCTAGCTACTTGAGTGAACAAAATTTATTTGAAATGATATCTTCATATGCCCCACTAAAATTGAGAGAATTTATGGGTTTCTAACTATCAACTTACTTTAAGATGAGCCAATCAATATTAGGCAGACAAGTTTTTTTTTTTTTTAAATATAAAGCTACATAGACTTGTGCAAATGAAAATTAATCATATCATGTCTAAATTCATAAAGTTTTGATATCATAGGGGTGGATTATAAAAAAAAAAATCTTAATGTCCAAATTGTTATTGGAAATCTATAGGCAAGCAAGCTAACAATTTGTACATTAACTTTTTTAAACACATGATTGAAGATGATTATCCAAGCTTTCATGACAGTGTCTCTAATATTTTATTATAATCAATGCTTGTTGATAAAGTTTGGGATTATACAGAATCACAAATAAAGAACTTATTTAAATCTTGGAGATTATAGTGAAAATTTTAAGTTGATTTTACTCACTATATGTAAATCAAATATCTTTTTGATAGAGAACCAATATAGATATTTGGTGTATTCTTTTTTTTTTTTTAATAAGAAGCAAACTTTGTTAAAACAAAGTAAAAAGATTCCAACATTAAAGGCCCAACACTCTGGAAATAAAAAGGCCATACAGAAAAAAAGAAGCTGGCCCAACAAAGCTAACTATTATGTGTATCTCTCTTCCAATTGCATTAAAAAGAGTAAAAGAATAAATAAGCTTCTACATTATATGTTAAGCAATATTTGGAATTCAAAACTTTTTTTATAATGTATCTTTTCAACATTTGAAAATATTATAATTTGGTTCTTGTCATTAACAAATGGTAATTTTAAAAATTAGAAATAAGGACCCAAAAATTACAAAAAATGACCAAAAAATTATATAATTTTTTTATTATTTTCTAATCAATTAATTGTTAAAGTTAATTTTTATTAACAGCAGAGGTCAAATTATACTGTTTTCAAAAGTTGAAGAGAAATATTACACAAAAATAAGTTTAAGATTCTAGATACTTTTAAATTCATAGTTCAAGGTCAATTTACTTTTTTACCTCATTAAAAAATGTGGATTATATTGACACATGCTCATATATTGATATTCTTCCTTTTTTTTTCCCCAAATGTATTGGTATTCTTTTAAGAGTTTATTTACTTAAATTCATTT